TCGTTCTCTCACGTGAGTATAACCCTCCCGTCTCCGCAGTTTGTTTCGGATACTAACCGATCAAAGGGTCCTATACACAATCCCGAAGACTTCCCATGTCCATAAGTCCATGCTTCTCCGTGGGGTGAAGCTACCGACGCCAATGCTGGATTCAAATGATATCAGAGCCACCCAGGCCCGATCCCAAAACTCTGGCCGATCATTCGGTGGCGCACCTTTCCAGGGTAGAGGACGCGGCGGCCGGATGAACTACTCGAGTGACCGCCCGAACCCATTCGCTGCGCATCTTGACCCGAGGTTCAGTTCCGGTCCACAAGGTGGTCCCGGAGGTCCCGGTGGTGCCCCCATTGTGCCTCCTGGATGGGTTCCCCCCGGCCAAGGGTATGGAGGCTACTCCAGAGGACCACCTCCCCCTCCACGTGGCGGAATGTCACACCAGTACCCACCTCAGTACCCACCCCAACACGGTTACCAACAGCCTGGGGACTATTATGGCCAACAAAATAACCAGTACAACCAGGGTGGTCAGTACAATAACGGTCATCAATCAAGCTATGGCCAGCAGGATTATCGTGGAGGCAGAGGAGGTAACCGTGGAGGCCGCGGCCGTGGAGGGCAGAACCGAGACCATTACTCCCACAACCAAGGCGGAGGAGGGTATAATCGGTACTAGGAAGTAAATGAGGGACCAGCTTCCTGACTATTTCTTCTTGCTTCTTTCAATACTGTTATTAGTACCTAGGTATATCTGTTGACACTTTTGGGAATTGGGCATGAGGGTCTGGGCAAGGAATGGAGTTAGAGAAATGTAAATTGAATTCAATTGATGTTCCAATGGACTATTTGTTTTCCCTTGCAGAGCATGCATGGATCGAGCCCTCGGCTGATATTTCAAGTTGTATACAACATATAACTAGTTAACTAGTTAACTATGTAGGTTGTATGAATACGGTCTACTCACCCCGTTATCTACTTGTCATGTACCGATTACCGTCATCAATTTAGATTTTTACCTATATTCTTTCTCTTTATTCTAGGAGTCCTTTCATCTTCTGCTTGCCCTAACATGATGCTTCTCTGGCGGTAGAAGGCGGTGTAGATGGAGGGGTCAACAGGCACACTGGCAGAAAAACGAGGCGGGGTGACTCACCCGTAGACTTGCAAGCCCTGAGAGGTTGTTAGCAGTCAATCTTCTCTTGTAAACCACTGGAGTCACCACGTCATGGATTTTCCTGCGGAAGAAGAAATCGTGCTCGCTCGGTGGAGGGAAATCGATGCCTTCAAACGCCAAGTTGAACTTTCGGCTGGAAAGCCACGCTATGGATTCCTAGACGGCCCTCCGTTCGCTACCGGAACTCCTCATTATGGGCACTTGCTTGCTTCGGTAAGATCACAGCGAACAATTTGCGAATGAGTTGCAAGTAGTTCTAAAATTTTCCACTAGACAATCAAGGATGTGATCCCCCGTTATTGGTCCATGAAGGGATTCCATGTGGAGCGCCGTTTTGGTTGGGATACGCATGGTGTTCCCATTGAGTAAGTTCAATTCGATTCAAGACATGATTTGCTCAAGATTGTGTACCTAATGCCGGGCTGACACAAAACCTAGATATGAGATCGACAAAAAATTGGGCATGTCTGGTCTACAGGCCGTCCAAGAGATCGGAATCGAGAAATACAACGAGGAGTGTCGGTCGATTGTTATGAGATACGCGACAGAATGGCGCCAAACCATCGAGCGATTGGGTCGTTGGATTGACTTTGATAACGACTACAAGGTACGCTCGAGCACGTCTGATTTTCTACGCCCTAGTGTTAATGTTTTTTTGTCTCTGTCATCTAGACCATGAACCCGTCATTCATGGAATCGGTCTGGTGGGTTTTTAAGGAACTCTTTGATAAGGGCCTCGTCTACCGTGGATACCGTGTTATGCCTTACTCCACCGCCCTCAACACGCCTCTCAGCAACTTCGAAGCGCAGCAGAACTATAAGGATGTGCAGGACCCCGCCGTTGTTGTGACATTCCCTCTGTTGGATGACCCCGAGACATGCCTACTTGCATGGACCACCACCCCATGGACGCTTCCCTCGCACACCGGTCTGTGTGCTAACCCTAACTTTGAGTACGTCAAGATCTACGATGAGGCTACAAAGAAAAACTACATCCTCCTCGAGGCTCTTCTCCGGACTATCTACAAGGACCCGAAGAAGGCCAAGTTCAAGATCGTCGACCGCATCAAGGGTTCCGACATGCTCGGATGGAAGTACCAACCCCTCTTTGATTACTTCTATGAAGAATTCAAGGACTGTGGTTTCCAAGTGCTGAATGACGAATATGTCACTGCCGAGGATGGTGTGGGTATTGTTCATCAGGCTCCTGCTTTTGGTGAGGAGGATTACCAAGTCGCCATGAACCACGGCGTCATTTCCGAGACCCGTCTTCCTCCCAATCCCGTTGATCCACAGGGCTGTTTCACAGCTGAAGTCCGGGACTTTGTGGGCCAGAACGTCAAGGCTGCTGACAAGGGAATCATCAAGCTCCTCAAGGGCAATGGACGTGTCCTTGTTGACAGCCAGATTACTCACAGCTATCCTTTCTGCTGGCGGTCCGATACCCCTCTGATCTACCGTGCTGTCCCGTCTTGGTTTGTGAAGGTTAAGCCTATTATTCCGGACATCCTTGATGGCATTGAGAAGTCTCACTGGGTCCCCTCCAATGTTAAGGAGCGGAGGTTTGCCAGCTGGATTCGGAACGCTCATGACTGGAACATTTCCCGGAACCGTTTCTGGGGAACGCCGCTGCCATTGTGGGTTAGTGACGATTTCTCAGAAGTTGTTGCTATCGGTAGCATCGAGCAACTTAGGGAATTGAGTGGCTATAAGGGCGAGCTCACCGATATTCATCGTGATAAGGTCGATCACATTACAATTCCCTCTAAGAAAGGAAATGGTGATTTGAGACGTGTTTCGGAGGTCTTCGATTGCTGGTTCGAATCAGGAAGTATGCCCTTTGCAAGTGTCCACTATCCCTTTGAGGGTGCAGAGGAGTTCGAGGACCGTTTCCCGGCAGACTTTATTGCCGAAGGCCTTGAGTAAGTTACTCATTTCCCCCTTTTTCTGCCGGTTTTCACGCGCTAATGTTAGATTTTAGTCAAACGCGAGGGTGGTTCTATGTACTCAGCGTTATCGGAGTTCATCTGCGTCAAAGACTACCATACAAGAATGTAGTGGTGAATGGCATTGTCCTCGCAGAGAACGGTCTAAAGATGTCTAAAAGGTGTGTAAACAACATCTCGATATGACCATGACCTGAAACTTATCTTATACGCTATCTACGCAGATTGAAAAATTACCCCGACCCATCGCTGATCATGAATTCATACGGGTGAGTTCTGCAGCTCTTCACTCCCGAGTTGTTCACTTTTCATGCTCTTGGGGAGTTTCCCATACGAATTTTCATTAACATTGCCCAAACAGATCGGACGCTCTTCGATTGTACATGATCAACAGCCCTGTCGTTCGTGCTGAGCCTCTTAGATTCAAAGAAACTGGCGTCAAGGAAATCGTCAGCAAAGTGCTTCTCCCATTGTGGAACAGCTACAAGTTCTTCGAGGGCCAGGTGACTCTCCTGAAGAAGACTTCCGACATTGACTTTGTCTTTGATCCTGCAGCAGAGAGCACTAACACAAACGTAATGGATCGTTGGATCCTTGCCAGCTGCCAATCACTACTCCTGTTCATTAACCAGGAGATGGCCGCCTACCGTCTGTATACCGTTGTACCGCGGCTCCTAGAGTTGATTGACAACACGACAAACTGGTACATTCGCTTCAACCGCAAGAGACTCAAGGGTGAAAATGGTGTTGATGACACATTGCACGCCCTGAACACTCTCTTTGAGGTTCTCTACACTCTTGTTCGAGGCCTCGCTCCATTCACTCCATTCATCACCGACAACATCTACCAGCGCCTTCTTCCCCACATTCCCGAGTCGCTCCGTGCTGAAGACAGCCGCTGCGTACACTTCCTTCCCTTCCCCGAAGTGCGCCAAGAGCTCTTTGACGAAGTTGTTGAACGCAGAGTTGCTCGGATGCAGACCATCATCGAACTCGGCCGTATTTCTCGCGAACGTCGGACTATCGGTCTCAAGACCCCTTTGAAGTCACTTGTCGTGATTCATAATGACCCGCAATATCTCGAAGATGTCAAGTCCCTCGAGCCCTACATTCTCGAGGAGCTTAACGTTTTGGAGCTTATTCTCTCCTCCGACGAAGCCAAATACGACGTTGAATACTCAGTGTCCGCTGACTGGCCTGTGCTTGGAAAGAAGCTGAAGAAGGCTGTTCAAACAGTTAAGAAGGCTTTGCCTTCTCTTACTAGCAATGACGTGAAGGGATATCTCGCGGACAAGAAGATTTTGGTTGATGGCATTGAACTCGTTGAGGGTGACCTTGTTGTGAAGCGAGGAATCAAGGAGACTGACAGCTCCAAGGACATGGAAACCAACACGGATTCTGACGTGTTGACCATTCTCGATGTGAACTTGTACCCAGAGCTGGCTCATCAGGGTCTGGGTCGTGAGATCATCAACCGAGTTCAACGCCTTCGCAAGAAGGCTGGTCTTGTCCCCACCGACGATGTGAAAATGGAATACACCGTGATTTCGGACCCGGACAACATTGGCATCGATGAGGCTTTCAAGTCTCAGGCTCAAGCCTTTGAGAAGGTCCTGCGCCGTCCGGTTGACCAGAGTGCATTTGGTGGCGATAAGCTTCCTACCGGAGAGGAAGAGGGTACTATCTCACAGGAAGAACAGGAGGTGCAAAATGCCACTTTCTTGTTGCGCCTGCTCAAGCTTTAAAAGTCAACCAAAAGAGCATATGTAGATATCAAGTCTACTTTTTAGCTATGTTTACTGTTGCTTTGAATGAAATCATATGACCTTTCATCAATAGTTCCACCTTCAATAGTTAACGAGCGAAATTCAACTTAGAATAATTTACAAATGCTCCTGCTTGCGCCGCCATACCCAAACAGCTCCAAATCTTTGAGTGCTTTCGATGTCTTTGATGCTACCAACATATACGTTCAAGGAACCATTCTTTAGCCCTTTTTGGATGCTGCCTGTTGGGGGTTGGTTAGCGTGTCGAACGGCGCAATACTCGCTCGTCACCTACCAGGTAGCAATTCTTCAATCGCATAAACTCTTTGGCACACATATCTTTATGTACGGAGTTGTAATCCGTAACAACACACTTGCCGTATGCCGCAACCTATCAGGCTAGTTAGCTCGGCAATGCTGAGATGAGGTCAGACAGAAGCTACACACCTCTACGGAGCATTGGGCTGAAGCTTTGGCAATCTTCTCAACTGGGCGAGTTCTTCCCGGCATCTTGGAAGGATGATGTGAGGATGCAGCCCTGAAATGACAAGTAGCTTAATGTTCCGATGTGAAGCCAATAACTAGTTAAGACCTCCAGACATGGAAATCCAAGAATGTTACATAAGACCACGTGACCGTTCTGCATGTTTCTGTCGCGAATAACCAAAACAACCCGCTTAGCCCACCGTTACTTCGATTAATGGCACATGTGTTTAGTCTATTATTCCTATTCTTTTGGAATTTCTGATTACAGAGGGTCTCTGTCTGCGCATGTCTTTCATCCTCGGTGCTCCCCGCTTTCGCGATGATTTATTTGGTCCTACAGCTCTATGACCCAGATGCGACAAGCGCGCCTTAAGATCGCGAATTTTCGATGCCTCCGATATCCTCTCAGCGTCGAGCCGTGACCGAAGAGATCTCATCTCTTTCAGATGATGGTATGGCGCAACGGATCACTCATTAACTTGAACGGAACCTGACCTCTATAGATGTTGGCTTTCTCTACCAGGTTATTGCTGCCGCCGAGACAAAACCCGAAGCAGATCGACTCCCATTTCGGGCGCTCTTCGAAGCATACGACGAAGTCATCGGCGAACATGGCGTCAACGCAGATCCAGGCCATGCATGCCTGCGCTTCCTGTTCAAGATGGGAAGCAAAGGTGTGCACGGCGAGACTCTCTTCGACAAATTCGAGAATGCGCTCCAACAGATGGGAATCGTGATCGAAATCGGCGAGGACGGCTCTACCAACCTTAACGAGACACATGACTATAATCAATATACAGCGGATGTTAACCACAGCCAGACGATCGACCATAACCATGACCATTCTCCAATTACGAATGGAGTACCACCGACCCCCAAGCGGCGCGCATCGTTCAACACTACGTACGATATTGGCGAGGATGTTACACAAAGAAGTGCAATCAATCGCCCTAGCTCTCGGTCGTCAATGTCGCGACTTGAGATCGGCAAACCCGATTTTTCTAAACTACAGCGGTCACCTACATCCGGGCATAAGTCCGGGCCTACCAAATCGCCAGATCGGACACAACTAATCAGCCAGTTCTTGGATGTTGGTCGACGATTGCTCAGCCGATTCGATTCGACAGAAAACAAGCATGGAGCCACGGAAGAACCCCCATTGACTAATGGAGTGGTTGCGAGGTCGGCCGTTGCTCGTGATCGTTCGAAGAGAATCGCGGAAGCCTCACGTCCCCATCGTTCACCATCGTACGATTCCTCGGACACCTCCGAGTCCGAAGATGTGCAATCAATCATGTCGCAAAGCCCAGAACACGATTCTTTTGACAAAGAAGAGGTGCCACCAGAGTTCATTTATCGCCCGCAACTTTCGGATCTACTCCGGGATGCATCAACCTTCAACATGTACCGACAGCGATCGATCTGCCGTCGGATTTTGACACAATGGCTGAAAAAAGCCTTTCAAGCGCGACAGACTCGCCAAACAAGGGAAACACTTGCTGTCAATTATGATCGAGGCCTTCTTCTCCGACAAGCATATGAGCCATGGCGAGGAGTAATACAAGAAAAACGCCACTCGGCTCGAACAGATCGATTCTTCAAGCACCTTGAAGCGCGTGCCAGTCGCGCACGGGATTTATATCTAATGACAAAGGCATTCAGTCACTGGGCCCAACTTACATCAGAAGAAGTAGCTCGTACCTCTGCCGCCCGGAGACATGTACTTGGTGTCAAATATTTCAATGCTTGGCGCGAGATCACTGCCGTCAATGAGTTGAAGGCTCAGCGTTTTGCACTACGGAGGCCCTTTGGCGCGTGGCGGAAGAAGATCCAAGATTTGAAGGCAGCAGAGACACAAGCAGTCAGTATACGCAACACAAAGATTCAAAAAGTAGTGTTTTGGGACTGGTGGTGGTGCTTCTGCGACCGGCGTGTTCTTGAGGTTTCTGATTATCGACTCAAAAGACGGTCACTTCTTTCCTGGCTTCGGAACTTGAGAACCAATCGAGAGCGCGACCATGAAATAGACCTGTACAACAAACGGTCATCACTGAAGTCGGTGTTTCAGATATGGTCACATCACTCGAAAACAATTGCACTTGCAGATCAGGAAGTCCAGGCTTCTCGGCGCCAACATGACCTCAGAGCAACCTTTGATGAATGGAGAATTCAGTCTCAGCTGGCACCGGCTGCTTCATGTGTCTCTGAGATGGTCGATACTAGGATTCTACGAGACGCCCTTTCGCGGTGGATTGGAAAGATTAAAATGATCAGACAAGCGGAAGCGGTAGATCGCCATCGAATCCAACACAACGCATGGATCTCCTGGAATGATACCCTTCGCTGCTTGGCTCTTCGTGCTCGAATTGACGAGCGGATCAAAATGGAGGCGATGTACAAATGGATTATGATGGAAAGATTTGAGCTAATGCGAAGGATACGAGAGCAACGCATCAAGCGGGAAGTATTTTCTCGATTCGTGACAAACACTCGGGATACTTACACCCGTTTACTCTTTCATGCTGAAGCTCATGAGGCCCATCAAACCCAAAATTTGGTTCGATCTAAATTTGCCATTTGGCGTGATCAAGTGCAACTTCAGCGCGAGCGGGAGTATGTAGCATCTGAGTTCTATGCTCCACGACTCGCAGCTGAGTCTCTTACGATCTGGCGATCCAAGCATAATCAGGTAGTCAAGATGGAAGGTTGGGCCCAAGATGCTCGATTCTATTTCTTGATGAAGAAGTCCATGAAGCAATGGCATCAGGCCAAAGTGGACTCTGGCAAACGACGGCGACAAGAATCGTATGCTAAAGTCCGGCGGCATATCAAGGTCAACCTCGCGTCTAAGGCGTTGGCTGCCTGGTCATCAAAAACTCGAATCATCATGGATATGGAGCAACAAGCTGCTGATGTTGATCGCGAAAAATTGCTTGCCGACGCATCTGAGATATTCGTCCAATGGCACAACAAAACAACGAAGAGGATCCAGGATTGCCAGGACGCCGATGATTCCTATTTCCGACAACTCGCATTTGACCAAATGATGCAAATGTCCGAAACCTTCATCATTCGACGTGAGATGGAAGACCAAGCAGACAATGTTTACCGATCGCATGTCCTACGCCTGGCGGCTGCTTCCCTTCGCAAACTCAGCCTTCGTATATTCCAGATGGGTAGTACTGCCGAGACCGCCGAAGCCATGCGGGAAAGAAATTTGAGGAAGCACTCGAGAAACATGTTCCGCGATTGGGCGGACAACGCCCGAATGAAGCTGGAGGCTCGAGATTCGGCTGGTCCAACCTTCACGCCTGCACGAATTTCCACCTTTGGAAATGGCAATGGTGCCGGATCGGCGATGTTTGATCCCTGGTATCAAGAGCAGGCCGAAACACCTTTCAAAATAAGTGACTTCACAGCAACATCCCAGGCTACATCTCAGGCAACCTCCCATGATCCGATCTCTGCAAGCCCCTTGACAACCCCCAATTTCACGACCTCTCCCTCTAAACGAGCCGCCCGAGCGCGAGCCCTCGCCCAATTGTCCACCACCCCCGCCACACCCTTACGCACACCTTTCGCAAGTAGACTACTTCGAGCTGGGACTACGACTGCTTTATCCACCTCTTCCAAACAACCACGGACTGGTCGGCGAAGCTCCGTGGGAAATAGCGTCCGGTTTGTGGATGAAGAACCTCCCGAGTCTCCGACAGATGGTCGCAGATCAGCGAATCGACGATCTTGACGTTTTTGTTCGGTATATGACCTCTTTGAAGCTACTTTGGCCTCATGTACATCAGCGACTGTTATAATGTTTTTCTCTCATGCCCTGTCGATAGGTGCGATCATGTTTCATTCAATGCATCATCCGGCGCAGCATATAGCGGGTTCAAGGGTTTCTGGGTCTTAGGTATACTCATTTGTACTTTTGCCATGATTGAATGTGATACTTAAATTATGAAACGAGCTTTTCTAGAAAAATTGTAGGGAAAGGCATAATCGTTCAATGAGATATGTAATTCTCTACTGTGTAGTTAGTATAGTGTCTGGTTGATGCCGAGGTCAGATATAGTAAATGCTTATCGGGGAGCTCTGTAGCTATGCCCCAGATAACTTGGAGCTCTTTGAATACAATTTTCTCACCTTGAGAAATAGCAATCGCTGAATTCACAACATGTTTAGTTTCGTACCTAGTTAGTTCCTTTGTGTTGTTCAAGTTGATGGTCATCAGTCACGAGTGGAGCGGAAGCGTAATTGACCAGGTCTCTCTTCCGCCTTGTGTCCTGCGTATATCCAGACAACTCCCGAAACACACATCTTCTACCTTCTGTCCCCCTGCAACTCTGGCTACTCCCAGACATAATAAACTTGAGTTGGCAATGTTGTAACGTGTTTTCGAACGCAACGAGTGTCCAACTCCCGAACAAACCGCCTCTATGCGAGCGGTACTGCCGGGGAGACCCCCAGCGAAGCTCCAGTCGTTCAGCACAGCGCTGTGGGATGGTCTTCGTGTTGTTGTAAGTACCTACAATCCTTGCTTAATTTCTGCTTCAGCTCTGCAGCTCGTCTAAAGCCCCCTGTTGCTGACCCTTGTCCCCGCGCGTTCCCTGATAGGCATACATCTCCGGCCACGCGCTGGTTATCCTCGGCGGTCCGCAAACGCTCCTCCAAACGATATACGTTGATGACACAGATACCCTCGAGGCTATAGCGTTTGATGAGACATTCGGCAAGATTGCAGTTTGCGGTGGGCCTGATGTATTCGTGTACCAGCCATACGGCATCCAAGGCGAAACGCTCAAGGTGCGTATACAACCCCACTACTCGGAGCTTAATCGACCAGCACCAGTCTCAGAAGGGTGATCACAATTTATGTTGACACATGGCTTCCTTTAGTGGTCGCTCCTTTATACATTCCGCGCCCCCGATGACGACGAACCGATCTATACACTATCGTGGGGTTCCCCGAACGAGCTCCTTGTGGGCAACTCCCGCCTCGCCCTTTGGTTTCTGAACGACGAACCGCGCCTTGTATGGAAAAGAAAGCTTGCGACACCTGTGAAATTCGCGCAATTTTCCCCGGATTCGTCTTTGATTGTTACAGTGGGGCACTATGACCGACTAGTCAAGGTATGGAGGCGACTTGCCTTCGGCGCAGACGAGGTTCGGTTCGAGAACTCGTATCTACCCCATCCGAATGTCGTCACCGGGATACACTGGCGGTTACCTCGACACCCCGAACAATCTATGGATAATGTTCTGTATACCTTCTGCGCCGACAACAAGATTCGGGTGTGGGCAGTGACGGACCTTCATGCGCTTTCTGCTCTACAGTTATGGGCAGAGATTGACATGGGTGAATCAGTACAACCTAGACATGCGTCGGATGAGGACGAAGGACCACAACGGCGGTATGGGTTTATTTTGGATGGCCGTGACTTCTGTGTTGCGACCGAGCGTGCTGTTCAGAGGACTACAGGAAACAAAGAGAATCATGCTCTAGAACATATCATCGAGGTTGCGAGCAAGGCCCCGGAGATCTGTGTTGTCATTGATGGCCAGGGCCATATGTCTGCTTGGGCTTTGGAGGATATCGGTTCTAAAGCAAAGACCAAATTGAGCGTCTTCAATATTCTTCATGTCGAAGGTTTGGACTTCGGATTTGAATTTGATCAGTCACCACAAGAAGACTACGCCCAAATTCGTGCATTCCAGAGTACAGTATTAGACGACAAGCTCACCGTTCTGGTCCATCATTTCGGCGGTCGGATCGAGTGGTATGATTCTCGTGTGGATGTTTTGTTCGATCCTGCACCACGCGCGAAGCGAATCACCCAAACGGCTTCTTGGTCTGGCCATACTGCCCCTGTGAAAAAGATTGTCCGAAATGCGATTGGAGATACACTGGTGTCACGTACCAATGAAAACAAAGCTACTGTATGGACACAGCGGCGTCGGGATGGAGGATTGATATTAGCACACAAGAGTGTCCTCCTTTCAGATGAGCATATCCATCGGACATGCGTCCTTGAGAACAGAACTCTTCTCGTCAATCTTCACCACAATGGGGTCTCCCTATGGGATTTCAGCTCCGATCATGCCAAAAAATTGGCTTCCTTGCCATTCACACTGCCCGGCAAGCCACTATGTGTGCTGCCAATCCCCAGCACCCAATCGACTCCAGGCGTTTCCCATGTAGCGACGATATGGGCAGACATGCACGGAATTGTTTGGGAAATACGAGGCCCAAGCCAGGAAGGCCACCATGGTGACTTTGTAAATAGCCATGGCTATCAATTCCGAGAATTTTGCACTTTCGACATGGGTCTGAAGGAGGATATTGCATATATCCTTCCCGTGGACCCAGCAGGCCCCAAAACAAAAACGTCGGGGTTCTTCGATTCTTTTTCTACCGACATTGCTCTCTCCTACAGTTACAGTGGAGTTGTGCGGACATGGACAGCTACAGTCGATCCAACGAATGTGAAGGTCGATTGGCTTCTTCAATCAACCGTTGATACAGGCATCACCAACCCATCTATGGCGAGTGGTAGCTCTATTCGCAAGGCAGCTCTGGTTGATGAGGACCGGACTCACCTCACAATCTGGGACACCAACAATGCTCAGCTGGAGTTTGAGGAACATTTTGCTCCACATGACATTATCCGGGATTTGGACTGGACGTCAACACCAGACAAACAGTCCATCTTAGCCGTAGGATTCCCACACAAAGTTGTTCTCCTATCTCAGCTGCGCTATGATTATCTAGATTCTCGACCCTCGTGGACACAGGTTCGGGAGATCTGGATCCGAGACCTCACACCTCACCCTATAGGTGACTCTTGCTGGCTGAATAACGGCCACTTGGTCATTGGGGCTGGCAATCAACTGTTCGTTTATGACAAGGACATTGATGTTGGAGACCGCCTAGTGTCTGAGCTTCGGATGCAATCTCGAGGGCTGTCGTCTGTCGATCTCTTCGACGTTGTTAGCCGTCTGAATGGCCCGTTGCCTGTGTTCCATCCACAGTACTTGGCACAGTGCATTCTGGCTGGGAAGACTAGCTTGGTACATTCGATTCTCTTGAACCTACATCGCAAGCTGAAGTTCTACACCGAAGGCGATGAGCTAGATTGTTTCCTAGAGATGCCGGTAGAATGTTTCTACGAGGAAGATGTAAGTGCGCAGCATTTCATTTCTTTCCCCAATGCTCACAAAGGCCAGGGTTCCCAACAAGCGATCTCCAAGAAAATACGCTCTTCCTACGTCGATTCCACTGACGGGGAATTGTTATCTGTGGTAGATGAAAACACCGCGGCCGCGCTCAATGAGAGTCTAGCACGGATCACCTTGCCGCAACTGTCTAGCCACGAACAATTCCGCTTGGCAGATACCATTGAATGCGTTGCCATGGTCGAGAAGCATCGGCGCTCGATGGACGATAATGCAGCACGTTATCTCTTATTCTTCCGACAGCATATGCTGCGGCGCACTCAAGGAGTGGCCAACAAAGACACTGTCTCATGGCGGGAGATTGTCTGGGCTTACCATAGCAGCAGCCAAGATATTCTCACAGACCTTGTCTCCCGGCAATTCAATGGAAAATTGACGTGGAAGGCTGCTCGTGAAAGCGGTCTGTTCATGTGGCTATCGGATTCCGTAGTCGTGGTGCGTGTCCGTCATACCATTTCCTTGGCCACGAACTAACCGGTTAATTAGAAAGCACAACTCGAAATCCTCGCCCGATGTGAATACACTAAGACGGAAGAAAAAAACCCCATCGACTGTACTTTGTATTACCTCGCCCTCGGAAAGAAGAACGTCCTTCAGGGTCTCTGGCGTATTGCACACTGGAACCGCGAACAAGCAGCAACCCAACGTTTGTTGGCAAATGACTTCAAGGAACCGCGATGGAGGACATCTGCGCTCAAGAATGCTTATGCATTGCTTGGAAAGCGACGATTTGGTAATTCTGAACCTCATATTGTCTACAAGTGAGCACTTTCACTAACACTAAACAGAATATGCTGCATCTTTTTTCCTTCTCGCTGATCATCTGCGTGACGCTGCGAACGTCATCATAAACCAGATGGGTGATCTCCAGCTCGCGATCGCAATCACTCGAGCCTCAGAAGGAGATAACGGACCGGTTCTTCGGGAGATACTGGAAGAAAAAGTATTGCCTGGGGCCGCTTCCGACGGCAACCGCTGGATGGCCTCTTGGGCTTTCTGGATGCTTGGACGACGGGATATGGCAGTGCGGGCACTGATTGTGAGTACTTCTTCTCTGGCTGTCAGGCCCCAACTAATCAGATCTAGTCGCCGGTCGAGACCCTCCTATCACCAACAACGACCCCAGCCACCCCGGGAAGCCCCGGGCGAGTAACCCTTCAGTCCAAATCGTATCTTTCCAACGATCCTGCCTTGGTAGTCTTATACCAGCAGCTCCGCGAAAAGACACTCCAAACCCTCAAAGGCGCCTCCAAAGTGCGACCCAGAGAAGAATGGGAATTCGTTATCCGCAATGCCCGACTCTACGACCGTATGGGCTGCGACTTTCTCGCTCTCGACTTGGTACGCCACTGGGAGTTCCTGGGCGGACTCCCTACCCAGGATGAATTGAAGCCCAATACCTCCCTGGAGATGGATGAGAACGGAGTCGATTACCGAAGAATGCTTCGTCGGCGGAGCAGCCTCGTAGTTGCTGATATGCCGGTGCACCGGGTAGATGTCTTGCAGGAACCCGCCATTTCTGCGACCACGCCCGGTGAGCAACCAATGAAAGAAGAACAGAAAGCGAAGCCGAAAGCGAAGCCACCTACGATGTTTCATGAGCCGGATGTCAATTCGTTGCTAGACAGCTTTGGGTTCTAGGTTGGAGACTTATGTAGCCACTGTACTATTTCCTGGATATACATACATCCAGTTACTATCAAGTGAGGACCTGTAAACTGGGGCATATATAATGTAGCGTCTCTTATATCCAAACAGTTAACTAAATAATAGCGTGTTCCATCCCTCTAATCATGGTTCACGTGACTCGAGGGACTTTGGGAAGGTCCGTGAACTTCTCTGAACTTGTCTGAATTGTACTCCGTACAGCGTACAATGTTATACAACATAGTTAACTAGTTAACTATACCTAGGTAACTATATGTACAACATACTTCTTCATCCTAATGGTTGTTGAATTTGAGAAGCTAATGGGGAAGTTGACCAAGGATCAACTCCGGCAAGTGGATGAATGCTATCCACACAGCACGGGCTTTGTCGCAGATTATCTCTGAGGAATAAGGAGGCTGGTATGGGTGTCGGTCACCATCTACCAATCGGCCTGACAGACATATTCATCTTTTCGATTATGATTGGACCTCTCCAATATTCTGTACGATGTACATTCCACTGAGTACAGACGTCTGTGTGATATGCTCATCCTACCCCCTCACACGATCAACGGTGCCTACCTAGGTAGTCATTGTAAGGAGAACGCTACACAGAAGCGGTCAAGATGCGTGGAGACGAATCGAGTTAACGATGCAGAGTGAAAAAAACAAAAAAAAAAAAAAAAACCCCCTACAGAAGATTCCGGCTGACAATTGTGCTGAACCCTATTGAGCTCACTGGTTGCACTCCAGCCCGTAGCGCGCTTTAGCTCCTCCAGTGGCTCCAGATGGCTGCAGATGGGCTCCAGATAGCCTGTCGGATTACCTATCCTAGTGCGATCGGCGGCACCAATCTGCGCTATTACATCGAAATCGCGCCGATCCTTCAGCTCGTCCACAAACTTCTTGTGAACGATGGAGACTTGGGCCGAGCGTGACATCCCTCTTGTGCCAATAGTCTAGGTCACCTCGATCTGCCGATCGGGAATGCAGACTTTCATGCAGACTAAAATCGAGAGCTGAATGCTTTAAGACTCTCTCTGCCCCCGACCCGCCGAGAGCTTGAAGCTTTTCTCGTCTCTCTGACTTTCAATATTTTTTGTATACTAGTGATATCCCTCATCGGTTTTTCCAGCGACGATGCCTACCAAAATCCCAGGACCGCCCGGAGTTCCCCTCCTGGGTAATGTTTTCGACGTTAACCCCAATGAGACGTGGAATTCGCTCAACAAGTTGGCCAAGCAATTTGGTATGGCAGCAACCCGTCCACGGACTTGGGCAACACCCAGCCCTAATGAGTAATCACTGATTTTTTTAGGTTCCATTTTCAAGATTAATGCTCTCGGTCATGAGATCGTATTCATCGGCAGTGTCGCTCTGTTGGAAGAGATTTGCGACCAGACCCGATTCCGCAAGTGTGTTACGGGACCAGTAGTCGAAATCCGATATGCCGTGCACGACAGTCTGTTCACAGCATACGACTATGAGAAGAGCTGGGGTATCGCCCACCGGATCATGATGCCTCATCTCACACAATCTGCGACCGATAACCTCTTCGGCGATATGGCAGAGGTCATCCCAGACCTGACAAAAAAGTGGAGCGCAGGAACCAAGACACGGACCCTGCTCACCAATGACCTGGACCGTCTCCTGCTTGCATCATGCATGAAATGTTTCTTTAACCAGCGCGTGCATGTGCTCGAAGGCGCTGAGCCACCTATGCTCGCTGCCATGGCCGGCGCCACCATGGAGGCGATGAAGCGACCCACCCGCCCCAAGCTTCTGAACTGGCTGTACCAGCGCCGATTCGATAAAGACACGAAGACCATGCGCGGGTTCGCTGGGCAGGTGATCAAGACCCGGAAAGAGCAGCCAGAGACTGCCCGCAAGGACATCCTGGATGCGATGATGAACGGCGCCGACCCGGAGAGCGGCGAGAAGCTCACCGAGTCGCAGATTATCGATGAGATTATCTCGATCTTCATCGGTGCCGCCACTGCACCCAATCTCATCTCCTACGCCCTGTACTACCTGATGGAGAACCCAAGCGTCATCACCAAGGCGCAGGAGGAGATTGACCGCGTGGTGGGCGACGGCAATATCGACATGGAGCACCTGCAGAGCCTTAATTACGTCGAGGCCATCCTGCGCGAGTCGATCCGTCTTTCCGCCACCGCACCGGGTTTCAACATCGAGCCCATTCCCTCCGACGATAAGAGCCCTATTCTTCTTGCCGGCGGTGAATACCAAATTGCTCACAATCAGCCTATGATCGCGGTCTTGAGTCAGGTCAACCGCGATCCGGCTGTGTTTGAGGACCCCGAGGCCTTCAAGCCTGAGCGTGTTCTCGGCGAGAAGTGGGATCAACTCCCTGCTGCCGCGAAGAAGGGCTTTGGTAATGGCAAGCGTGAATGCATTGGCAAGCTCTGGGCTTGGCGGTGGTCGTTCTTTACTCTTGCCAGCATTATTAAGGAGAACACATTTGAACTGGCGGACCCCAAGTACAAGCTTGAGTCGAACGGTGCATTCAGTATTAAGCCTCTTGAGTTCTACGGTCTTGTTAGCCCGCGAAAGTAATTTTGAGATGGATTCTTTGGGTCAGCGGGCATGAAGTCAGTAATGAATTTGTCGATATATCGATATACTCCAACGTTATTATGAATGGATCCCAGAATGGAACGAGCTTAATCCTAACTTGATATTTTTTATTCTTGCTTATTTCTATCTTTAATTCTGAAAACATGAGTACTACTTTACTAACTACTTTACTACCTAAATAGTTACTGAAGATGGACTCATTACGTGGCGGCTACGTAGTAGGCGATTGCGTATGTTAACGCCACGCGGACTTTGGGAGTTTCAAGTCCCCCAAGTAAAAATAGATCTAGAGTTCTACAATGCACAGGAAGCGTTTAAAAGAATGTGTTATATTGTATAACAAAAAAAAGGACCAGCCTAAAAGTCTCTATATTGACACAGAAGCAGAAACCATTCCAGCTGGGTATAGACCATCCTCCGAAACAGAATGACCTGAGAGTTCTATCTTCAAAATCATATAAAATCAAATCTCAAAGTAAAAACAAATTTTAACCGCTGTAATCAATGGTAACAGCCAGACGAACGGGACCAGATCCCAAGTTAGCACCAATACCACCGAGATCAGTCTCAGCGGAGGTGTAAGCGTTATCGACGGTAGCGGCATCCTGGGTGACAGAAGAGCAAACCGAGCCAAGGGCATCACAGATCTTCATACCAGAAATGGCCATGCCAGCATTCTGAGCCGAAATAACCGACACATCGAATCCAGACCAGCCACTGTTGGTAGTGGAACCGAAGTCGAACTCGCCCCAGGTGGAAGCGTAGCCACCCATAGTATCGGTGGGGATGGTGGAGCCGGAGGCGGCAGCCCAGCCACCATTAGAGTCCTCGTCGAAGGCAATATACTTGGTCTCGCCGGGGGCAAGAGTGAAAGTGTTACAGGCGTTGCCGAACCAGCCTGTCATCTTGCCATCGGGCCCGTACTTGTTGAAGATGGCAACGGTCCATTCCTCGGTGTTGGAGCCTGTGAACTGCGCAACGTACTTGTACTTGCTGGCGGATGAGGCGTCGACGGTGATGATGTTGCTGCCGTAGGGGTTGCCGACGTTGCCGGAGTATGTTTCGCCTGAGCCTGATGAGCTGGTGGAGCTGCCGAATCCATCGGTGGAGTATGAGCCTTCAGAGGGCGTGGAGGTCCAGCTACCACCGCTGGCGGGTGAGGTTGGTGTGGTTTGGCGGCGCTCGAAGGAGGGTCTGGCCAGGGTGCTGGTGGTGAGGGCTGCGAGCAGCATGAGAGACTTGGCGAATTGCATATTGATAGATTTGTTTTGGGAGGTGGAGTCACGAAAGAAGGTAAACTATCAATGAAGATATGAATGAGTGTTTATTACGAGTCCTGGTTGGATTCAAAAGACAGTGTGGTATGTAAATGAATGAACAGTGGTACCAAAAGGAGTGTGGTTGATCGAAGAAAAGAGAACAGACAGGAGGAATAAGGGCAGCTATATATACCCTCGAAATCGAAAGAATCTTCTTCTTCCGCCACGCTTGCCTCGTGAGTCGAGAGCAAAAAGATGAACCGAAAGTTCCGGGTACCTGGCTCGTTCAAAGCGAACCATTGGGGGTACACACCTGGGCATACGTCAAACTGGTGAAAGGACTCGTATGCCATGGGTTCCACAATGGTCGAGGCCATGGGTTCGATGTGTACCTGGGTAGTCACCGTTGGAGGTGGAATGGGGTTGGATCCTATAGATACACGTAATTTGATTGGGTCCATCTGTATAGGTTCAAGCCACCAAGATACACCAGAACATTTCTCATTGATAGACCCATCAGAATATGGAGTTAGTCATTCTTTATATCCATGGACACCTTGTCTATGGACCCATGGATGGACACGGAGCAAGCTCGGAATAAGACCACGTAGGGAAGACGCTTTCCAAGGTTACCTATTCTCCGCATTCTCAATTAAGAGAGATATATCACTCTTCCAGAATGATAGGAACCTTGGGAACAAACCAGATATGAAAACTGTTAAGAGTACACGAACTAGGAAGGTAACCACAAAACGGACCATTCACAAGGATGGCTACCGATCTGAACACTCAAAAGTTTGCAAATCGCATTGTCTGGGTCCAACTCCGAAGGATGCCCTAGTGCGGACCCAACAGGGATCAGATCGTTTTAGTCTGGGCCTAAAGACAACGGAACTATCAGGAACTCAGATCCGGGGATGATTATGACTATGACCGCTGCATTGTTAAGATGCATGATCGAGCTGCACAATAACACTTTGGTCTTTAACGCTTCACTACTTCACACTAGGAGCATACTATCATTGCCAGGAGCTCTCTGAAGTTTGAAGTTTGAAGTTTTGTTAATGGGGTTTCGCGTCAATTGTGTGATCCGTGGACGCTGACGTTGTGGTCCAGGAGTAAAGTAATATGATTGGCTGAAACTTTGGTTAATCTGACCAATCATAATACAGTTTATAGTCTTGGCAGGGCATGAATTATATTGTAACCAATCACCATTAACCCCTTTTCATAGTCCATGGTTTGTTACTTTGTTCCTTGAAGTCTCTTCTTTTGGAAAAAGTAGCCGCACTTTAGGCTTGGCTCCTGCTTCACATGCAAGTCATTCGCTAAATATCTTAGAACACCACCAAGTTCTAGTGGATTAGATTTCCCTAGGTGGATCGTTTGATTCTTTCTGTGAAGCGCCACTAGCCCTAAACCAAGAAAATGCAGATTCGGGGTAATAAACTCAGTGTTTGACGAGTGAACCTTGGAAGAGACGTTGGGATTGATGTTGCGATTGCTAAACTGCGGAAACAAGCCAGTGTGTCTTGTACCAGGTTCATTGTTTCGGGTATTTTAAATAAAGATTGGACTTTTCTTAGCTTAAACGGTTGAAAATAAAGTTAGACGCTACGCAGAACAAAGACCCTTAATGCGATCAGCACTGTGAGACTTGGCCAAAATTGTGGGTTTCGGAGACAAAAGACAAGTCTAGACATGTAAATGGACCGGAAGAATCTACAAAGTTGGCTAGGCTCTGTAATGCTCATTGAAAACTTAGATTAGAAGACGCTTTCCCTACTTTTAAAAACCAGAGTAGTCGGGCGCGTATGTGACCTCTATCCTTGATTTTTGACCTAGCACTTTAGTAAAATGACTTATCTGGCTCAAAATAGCATAAAGAATATTATATGTAAGATAATATTAACGCGTTTTTTTGATATTTCTGAGGCATTCTTTTTCGATGCCTTTTTCTTTGATTTTCTTTGATTTTCTTTTCGGTGTTATAACCTTCTAGGAGAATAAGAATAGTAGCACTAAGGATAATTGAATATGTACTATATATATACAAAGGCCGTAAAAAGTATAAATCATACAGAGAACTTTTCTATGTACAACCAGGGATAGATACAGTATCTATTGCAATTATAGTGAGGTTTGGATATTGCACCTTTGTCTTGTTCCTGGTGCCTCTCGCAATAACAACCACATGTCGTCTATCACATTCTAGGAAAATACTTCATTCTATCCACTGGAAACATCATTCATTGGTCATTTCTTCATGAGAATCGGACATGTTGAATGCACTGACTTTCCAGAAAATCCAGGGTTCCTCGCCTATTCATATTCATGGAGTGTATCACTGTGTACGTGGAATATAATCCTTATTCATCCCTTGTGTGAGTTGTACTCGGTGTTTCCTCGAGATGTAACTAGCTGCTGTATCATCCGCGAATTCCATTGGTCAAGTCCTGCATTATGGTGGAACAGCCTGGAGCTTTGGATACTGTTTCATTGATCCTTCGTATTGTGAAATCACGTGGGAGGAAACCTTTGGTCGAAGATGATGACGAGTGATAGTTGGTGTCTGTACGTGATATCATCGTACACCGAAGAAATGACCGTAGAAATGACCAAACGGAACCAGATGTATTATTGTATTGTGAGAGAAAAGCGTGTGCCTGTCCCTAATCCGCTCAGTCTATGAATGGAATTTACGTAAATTACACACTCATACAGGCACAGCTCCAGATAGCACGTCTTATCTATTTGTGGAACATATGGATACCATAGTTATACATAGCCTCAAAAGAGGGCTTTGACTGACTGGCTCCTTCGCTCTTGCCAAGTAACCCAACCCCATTCACATCCGAAGGGGGTAACTTCGGGTGTTGAGCTACTTGGCAAAATCCTGGTATAACTGAGATGCGGCCCAATCTAAAGCACCAAGGAGAACCGTAAGGAATACAAACATAACTAACTAGATAATAAGAAAGGAAGAAGGATCATTAGTATGATCTAGATATTAAGGAGGTTCTGTATGGGTAAACATGCTGGCCGTCAGGCTGCCAACATCTTATTCACGATTCTTTTTATATTCATTTGATATCTAGATATTTAATTCACAAATCAGATAATTCCATATTAAAGCTACAATATACAAATTAACCTACAAATTAACCTTAAGAGACTAGAGTGTTGCAGAAATGCGGCAAGACATGCTCCGGGTGCTCCGGGTACTCCGGTGGTGACGTCGATAGGCGGTGAACCGGGCCGATCATTATCGGACTAACTCCGAGAATTAACACGCTAACTAGTTAGTTATATGTTGTAGCTTGGGCTAATGAGCCGGAAAATTGCTGGGAGAATTGCTGGAGATTGTCTCTGGAAAAAGACATAGTGTGTCTATACCCCACTTCCCCAAACCCCCTGAGATAAATGCCTACTTTCCCCTTCCTTTGACGATTGTTGATTGTTCTAACTATCCGGCACTATCTCAAAGATGACATCTCAACGTTCCTCGCTAGCTACGCTGCTGCTCCTAGGATCATTCCTAGCACCAGTCAGCTCCAGCAATATTCCTGCTCAAGCGCAGGTGATTGACCAAAAAGCTTTCAATGTTCTGGCGACCACTCAGCCTCCAGCCGAATTCAATGCGAAAAGTGTATGCGATTTCTAATTTCGGGTCTCCACTAGCACCCCCTTACTGATAAATGCATAGCTATTTGTGCCCCCAGGGTCGACAGGAGATAGTCTAGCCCAGCAGCCTTTCCATGTGTACGATGAGGAATTCTTGAAGATTATCGGAGACGCCCCAACTCTAACCCGGATCGCACACTCCCCAAAGGACCCTATATTCCATGAGGCCGTTGTATGGTAGGTATCCAACACGAAGATCAAGTACAAGCCAAGTATAGATCGAATCTAATTTTTAGCTTCTAGGAGCAAGGAAACAGACGAGGTGTTTTTTGTCCAAAATGCGGGCGCTAAGGATGCCGGCACTGGTCTTCAGAAGTCAGCTATTATTGAGAAGATTTCTCTTGCGGACGCTGCTGCTGTCTCGGACAAGTCGGATGCCGCGGGTCTTGTTAATGTAACCACCGTTCCTTCATCGCCAACGATTCTCAATCCCAATGGTAAGCAATCAGCCCCTTTTTTTTAGAGGTTCAAGACAACTGACTGTGCTTTAGGTGCTACCAATTACCGTGGACAAATTGTATTCGCCGGTGAGGGTCAAGGTGACAATGAACCACCTGCCTTGTGGGTTATGAACCCGAAGAGTCCATTCAATGCTACAGGTTAGTACAAACCCACCTCTTTACCTTTCGGGGGTTAACAAGAATGGTTGATAGTTATCCTTAACAACTACTTCGGCCGCCAATTCAACTCCCTGAACGATATCGCCATCCACCCGAGCAGCAAAGACATCTACTTTACAGACACCATATACGGCTATGCACAGGACTTCCGCCCTGCGCCCGGTCTGCAGGAACAAGTCTACCGATTCAACCCCGACACAGGTGCCGTTACAGTTGTCGCGGATGGGTTTGACCACCCCAACGGTAGGAGATCAAGAATGCGTACAGGCTAAAAAAGGAAGGTGCAACTAACAATTGTGGCAGGTTTCACTTTCTCCCCAGATGGCAAGCACGCTTATGTCGCCGATACCGGAATCGATAGCGGCTTCTTCGGTCTCAACTTCACCCGCCCTGCTTCTGTGTATGTGTGATCGTTTCTAATGTTCCCTTGTTTGGGCATGAAGCTAATTGCAGACTGTGTGTCACAGCTACCGATTTGACGTGAAAGAGGATGGCACACTCGACAATCGCAAGACTTTTGCCTTTGTTCACTCTGGTGCTCCTGATGGTAAGTCAAGCAAGCTGTACTTGGTGTTGTTGGGGCTAATTTTTTGAAAAAAAAGGCATCCACTGCGATTCATTGGGTAACGTGTATGCTGGCTGTGGTGATGGTGTCCATGTCTGGAATCCATCTGGCAAGCTCATTGGCAAGATCTATGTTGGATCTAGTACAGCGAATTTCAACTTCGCTGGACAGGGCAGAATGGTTATCTGCGCTGAAACAAACCTTTACTATGCCACGTTAGCCGCGGCTGGAAGCTATGTTGACAGTGAGATGTAAGAACCAGCGGACGGCTTTTGGTTTTTCATGTCTCGGATTTGGTCCTTGACATAGAGCATCATGCTTGGCATGTTTGCTATTTCCATGCTTGCTATTTGCTTGTTTGCTATAGACTGAGCCTTTGTTCAGATGGTTTTAACAGGGTATATAAGCCCCTGCATTTCTAGCTTTAATAGATAATGATTCTTCTTCTGATTTCTCCCCTACTTAGTAGTAATATATACAAAAGAAGCAATGTTGGGTGATATCGCGATGTTATCTTGGACATGCGCTGAATTCGTAATAGCTTGTTGTATTACATATTTAAATCATAACAGAAGTGAGAGAGTATGAGACTTTCTCTCGGGTATTTCCTCCGCCTAGCCACCATGCATGCTATCACCGATGCTTCGGCTGCGACGGTAACTCATGGACCATATTTTCGTCTCGACCAGCAAGCTCTTGCGGTGGTTGTGACACCAGGCTTTCGGGGGCCTTATTGAAGTACTCAACGACGTTCGATCCGGGCGCGCTCGATCCGGTCATACTCGAAACGGGAACACTCGATTCGGGTGCACTGGACATTAGAGGGCTTGGGTCTACAGGTGCTCCTATGTTCTGTTTGGCCCGGTTTCGGCGACGGAGTAGGAACCAGAGTAGACCAGCCAGGATGGCCAACTCAGCTACTCCACTGACAACACCTCCAGCAATGGCTCCGGTATTGGATGACGACGAGGACGATGAAGACGAATTATCCGAAGCGCTTGTGGCATCTGAACCAGTGGTCGTGGCGCTGGAAATTGCACTGGATATTGTCGATGATGGCAAAGCTGTTGAGGTAGTGCCTGTAGATGGGTGGTTAGGAATTCAATTCAGTTCACCCATTCTATGACTCTGCAATGAAGGTTCAGGACGGCAAATCATTACATACCATGATATTGGATTTTCAAAAGAGTCAAACTACTATCCAAGGTGGATGTATCATCGGTGCAGCCGACAAAGCCGTTCTTTTTCTGGAAGGCCTTCGTGCCAGAAGCGCAGCAAAAGTAATCATTGGCTTTATAGACATTTGCAGTGCTGTTTGCGCAATGTTTGTCATCGAGTAACTCGGAGCAGTCTGCATCTGATGGGCAGCATTTCACGTTTGATTGACCGGTTGGGCATTTCGTGCCCCCGGGGACAACAGGCATGGAAGGGAGACCAGGTTTGGCCGCAATCTGTTTCGGTGGCGAGACAGGAGCCGTTTCTGCGGACGGAGAGCCCATATGGGGGTACTTAACATATCCGACATCGGATCTGTTGTGTATAATATTGAAAAGGGAAAGAATAATTGTAGATCAATTGAAGAAGGTACTCCGTATAGAGAAACTAGTATGTTGTAGTAGGGAGAGAGAGAGAGTCAAAGTAAGGACTGGGGCTGAATCGGGGTGTTCGGTAGTTATATTAGGCTGTTCCGAGGGGAGGCTGACTTCTGTTGTAAGATGCTGAAGGAAACGGGGGGCCGTGTCCTCTTTACTAACTAGTGCATACAAAAGGTGTGGAGTGAGTTGAGGGCCATTTTCAATTTATTATTAGATACACTGGTGAGCTATTGGCTACTCCGTACACATATTCATATTACAGCTGACATGGAGACTTAAATCTTACATTAATATACAAATTATCAACTGAGTAGGTAAGTTGTTTACATCGAAGGCAGTGGAGACATTGTATCCCCATCTCGTAACTAACTACGGAGTACTCTAGGTTAACTAGTGTGTCCTGATGCATGTCTGTAATTTATAATCTCCGGTAGAATTTAACAAAAGTACCTTGTACACATCCAACTGCAAAGTTTTTATCTTATTACGTTCTAGGCTCTCCACGGAAATTATGCCCATGACAACCGGCAGTCATATCATTTGGATGAATCCTAGAAGGAAGCACTCGCTAGGGAACGAAATGTTGCTATGGGTAGATTTACCAGACTTCGAAGCCATACTAGTACCAGTTATACACTCGAACAGCACATTCTCTGTAGATCGGCTCCATGAAAACCACACTGATATCGTTGCGGAGATTAACAATTGGAAAGATTCCAATCTCACGCTAAACAGATATCATGCCTCGATGATACAACGATGGCCTTGCGGCGCCATTAAGAAGAAGGATTGCATCTCCATCTCGCTGGCTGTCATACCTTCTTTTGTAGAAGGTCGAGCATTAGGCAAAGCTCGGAAGAAAAGCGCTGTGGCTAGACGAAGCTCCATTCGAGCTAGATGCATACCCAAACAGACTATAAGAATTAGCTCGACTGGTGACTCAACCCATGGCCAATATCAAGGGACTTACTCCTTGACCCACCACCAAATGGTAAAGAAGCATCCTTCATTTCTTTCGTTGGGTTTTCCCACCTCTCGGGGTTGAACCTATTCATTCATATTATTCAATTTTCTAGTTTCGACACTATTAAAGATTGGCCGACTCACTTATCCGGGTCTGGGAAGATAGCATGGTCACGATGAAGACTATAAGCCTGGGTTGAGACCGTGATTCCTCCTGGCACATGATACCCGTTGAATTGAGCACCTTCGGGTGGCACTAGTCGAGGTAGGCCAAACGGAACGGCCGTGTACAATCGCAATGTCTCCTTGATAATCTGATTGAGGTATGGTAGGTCTCGGAGGCTTTTGTCCGTGACAGGCTCAGGAATACCAGCCAACTCGGCAACAAGCTTCTCTCGCACTCGGCTGTCTCGACACACGGCATACGTAAGATAGGTCAATGTGACAGCTGTGGTATCGCTTCCTGCAACAATGTATCCCTGAGCCTCCTGTACGATCTCTGAATCCGACATGCCACTCTTTTCATCGAAAATTTTTGTAAACAGAGTTGGCTTTGGGTTGGATGGGTCTTGAGAGACGAGCTTTTTGTAGCGATCAACGGACTGAATGGCATATGTCTTGAGTCTCTTCTCTGATCTCGCTGTGTTCTTAATAATCGGTACGGGGATATATCTTGCAATCTTCACTAGAACCGGGAACGTTGTTCGAAAGGGCTGTAGTGATATCAGTCTTTCCATGTCGAGGCTGTATTGATTTTTCTATATTCGTTATTAGTATAGATAAGTCTCTAGTATTTTGTCAAGCTCAAGCCCTCCACTCACCTTGCCAATCTCAAGCATTCGGAATGAGTCTCCAAAGGTGAGTTCACCAATGATGTCTGTGGCCATAAACAGCCACCATTTGAACACATCAGTAACGCCATGATCCGTTAGTTCCATTGTAATTTTGTCGACAGCTATACGGATACGATTGGCGATTATTGGCTCAAGGCGAGTCAGCGAAGAGTCAGAGATAGGTGATGCCAGAAGACGCCGGTGGTGGGTGTGGAAGTCTTTGTCGGTGGTTGAAAATGTGGTGGGCAAATCGCCTATGGATATCTTGCGATAGAAGGCAGTTTTAGCAAAGCGGCTATTAGTTTTGTGGATCTCCTTTACGGCGCTTGTGTCGCAGATATCGACCTGATCTGGGGCGATTCGTACAACAGGGCCTATTTCAATATTAGGGAAGAGGTTTCTTTTTTTTATAAATAACACTAACTACCTGCAACACATACCATATTTTTCATGAAGCTGATGAACGTACATAGGTATAGTTCCATTTAACCAGTTGTAGGTATAAATGGCTTCCGTCCATTTCGATATCTCGGGCCCAGGTATATGAGACAACGGGTTCGTGAGTCTACGATAGATGGTGTTCTACATATCGCATGAGTAACAGTCCCATATGAGGGGATTTTGTTGTACCCACCAGAAGAACACCACCAAGAATACATATCAGCCAGCAGCTAATGAGAAAAGAGCCAGATAGTATGTCGGGTGATTCCATTATGTGCTTCGGGGCAGTAGGTTCTGATATGGAATCAAGCAACTATTACCAGGCAGTCGATCTATATACTAGATTCCTTAGTAGCACAATGAAGTCAGAGAGTGTTCCAAAACTCCACCACTTCCAGTCCTACGTAGCACGGTAACAGATCGGGAGCGAACTAAATCATCCGATAGGTAGAGACACGTTAGAGCAAAGCAAACAATTCTTTTGGGGTGGGTGCAGGGGGACTTTTGTTCCAAAAAGAATGGCTTTATTTTGCCGACTCCCGATATTGTACCCACTATGTAACTGTTAAATATATGATTGACATCCTTGGAGAAAGGGATATGACTTTGCTCGAGGCATCAGCAATTTTACAGAGATCTTGACAATGATGGCACACAATGAATGAACCATCCGCTTGTTGATGCTAGAGGTTCCTATAGGGTCAATCAGTATGGTGGTATAATTTTGAAGCGCTTTCTGGCCTCATTATCTTTCTGAGGGAGAACAGAGCTTCGCTGTCGATTTAGAAACTGTCCGAGTATTTTGCTGCTTCTAGTAGTGAGCGAAATATAGACATATATATGTTATAGCAGCACGGGTACGGGCGACTATAGGGATCACGGTCACATAACTCGCTAGTGCGTTACAGCCTATTTTATCACCGCCTTCTTGAAGTAACATACACTGACATCTTACTAGATCTTCTTTTTTGGATGTTCTTCTTAGGGTCTTTTTAGTTGTCTTTCTAGTTCTCTTTCTAGATGTCTTTCTGAATGTCTTTCTAGATGTCTCTTTATTTATCTTTTCTAAGGCGTTATAAGGAATCATCTAGGTTCAATATTACTACTAACTATACAACCAGGTCTAAGTTACTGCCTAGCAATATAAACCAATGAGAGAGTTATGTGACGGTGATCCCTATAGTCGCCCGTACACGGGGTAGGTAGACTGCCGGGCTTATCACAGTACGACAATATAAGTCGGTAAAATCAAAATCACAGAGTTCTCTATGTGTGACCACAGGGATAGCGAAAACAGAATAGCTGCTACGACACCATCTGGGGTGTATCTACTATGTGTGATATCGATGGTCTTTTTTTCCCCTTTATTTCTGCTCTCTTTCTTCCTTACACTTATCATTATGATTTGTGCTTAGGAATCATACAAAACCTAACCTCATGACTAAAATTATATATATTATTTTAAATTAGTGAAGAAAGAAAAAAAGAATACAAAAAAGATGGGCCCGAGCCCGGGATTGAACCGGGGACCTCGCGCAATATTGCTTTGGGTGAACCCCTGGAGATAATTGTTAGGAACTTGAAATTATACCGAATAGATTCGGAATATGCTTACTAAGCGCGAATCATACTGCAGTATTTGTTAGTGGGAATGTACTATTGATAGTGGAGCTGAAGAGCTTCTTACCCACTAGACCACCCGGGCAGTTGATGAAATGTGACAGAAATCTGACGTATTGAAATGTATTGGCACCACAGCAGATATGGAGAACTCTGTATTTTCTATATGATAGAAATCCGCTGTTTCTGTGCGGTACTGACTAAGCTTGATTACATAAGGCATATCATGTACTCGAAGTCACATGATCTTCCATGGTATCATACCATGTATGCAACCTTGCACTTTGACAAAATGCGTGAGGTTTTGGAAAATATAATGGAGATTATTATGGTCCTTCAGCAGAATCCGCACAACTTTTGTCTTTTCCTTGACGGTGTTCTCCTTTCAAACAACCAGAAGGTCTTAGGTCACCCCAACGCTGCCATCTAGGACTCCCTGCGAAGGTGTATCCCGGCCAGGGGTCGGAAACTAATTATTACTAATAATGTTGCCTGAAGATGCCTGAAGATGCCTGATTATATACACTCCCGCTCTATGCGTGAGTGTACGTACATAATATCCCCAGCCTCGATGACCAGTTAAACCGTATTGCGTCCCTAGCATCTAGTACCCCAAGAACATAATATATATTCACGCCTCTCGACGATATGCCTATCCTTATCACGTCAAACACTGCAATAATCCACCGCGGTGGCATTGTAACGGATCCATAAATAGGATATTCATTCAAGTCAATAGAACTTTCATCGTAGCATGCTAGATTCCTGGCCCTCCGCCTAAGTAGAATGGCAGGCGAAAGCTACACCTGAAAAGCCACCAGTAACTTGCATTATGGCCTGAATCTGCTGTCCTTCACATTCTTCAGGTGTTTTTGTGCCATCCTTAGCTCTTTCAATTTCGCGATTCGAAATGAAATAGATGCATCATCAAAAATGACACCTCCATCTCTTGAATAATGGCTCAGAATACAGCCCTTTTTGGCAAACTGTGACCACAATCGGGAAATATTAGGCTGTCGAGTGACCTGGGCTCGTTCCACGGGTTCCCAATACCCACGGTTGCCGCACCCGTTCCCATCGCCATCCTTCGTGCTCCCGCAAAGAAGATATGGAATCAAGAGTGTTGGCCGAACCGCAATCGTCCATTTCGCTTCCACCAGTTTTGTTCTTGAGCAAGAGGGACATTTTACTTCTATCTCATCAGGGAGGGTTCCCCCGCTCTGCCTCGGTGCGGAGGAGCCAAGTGCTCGGTTTTTGAGCTCTTCGAGCGTTAACTTTATCAAGCGCCTCCTTACTCACTCGCCCCGCGTTTGCTGCAGACCAGCGCACCTTATTATCAAACGGTTTGAGGGAGGCGTATGAAAACCCACAGCCAGGGTTTCCGCAGCCGCCTGCAACTGCCCATGATACGTAAATACCGGGGTTGTACTTGGACCAGTATGGAAATGGATCATCCAGGACCTGCTGGCCACACCCACTGCATCTCCGTGAGAGAATATCATAAGGCGCCCCACGAAAAACAACCAATTCATCCATATGTGGTCGTCGAACTCGGGATATCATTTTGCCGTATGCAAAAAGCACCGACATAGCGAGGTTCCCGATGCCAAACGTCTTTGAAGAATCATCCCATCCCGGAATGAAATCATGGAGTAAATTATAGGCCCTTTCTAGATCTTCACGAGAGTTTAATGGCCTTGTGTTGAACTTAAGACCCGGCTGGTCCTGGATAAGTGCTGTTATCTCCGCCGGCAGGTCTTGCCACTGGTCAATATCTTCCATATCGTCTATTGTGGCCAGGGAGGACTCGACGTTTTCGACTGCTATTTCACTGGACACCACCAGGGATCCAGATCCCTCAATGATTCCTTTCAGTGCCACCCAGAAAGAACTAATAATACACGGAGAAGAAACCAAATTCGTACAGCTACTAGCTAGAGGGAGAGAGAGAGGGAAAAACCGTTGATTACGCAATTTATGGAGAGCAAGGTATTTACACCTTGCAATCTAAAACATCCATGGATACAAGTTACATACACACATACAGAGGCCTTGCCACCAACCAAAAAATGACAGACTTAAGAATAGAAAATTGTAGTTAGTTGTAATTACTAGTAATTATAAAGCCAGTTTATTGTCTAATTAAATAAAAGATAATCTTCCCATCAACTGCCCGGGTGGTCTAGTGGTATGATTCGCGCTTAGTAAGCATATTCCGAATCTATTCGGTATAATTTCAAGTTCCTAACAATTATCTCCAGGGGTTCACCCAAAGCAATATTGCGCGAGGTCCCCGGTTCAATCCCGGGCTCGGGCCCATCTTTTTTTTCTTTTCATTCATATAGTAATTGATTCTTATATTTATTTTTAATTCAATAGCCGTGCCAGGCGCCCAAAAACCGTTCCGGTTGTTGGTGCGCCCCACCAGATAGCCATTTTTCACCAGATAACCAATTTACAGTTTATGTATCTTTTGTATGACTTACCTATACAAAAGGTACTTAGACACCCCGTAAACATAACATACATTTTCTCAGCACTCGAACTATTTAGGGAAGATATAAGAAGATATATATAGTATAAAGGATGTCCATTCAAAATGCAAACGACCGCCGCCGCCCACTCGTTTATATTTTCTCCAGGTACCACTAACCGACTCGATGCTAGTTCCTGGGTCGGAAACAGGAGCCTTTGCCTGGCGGGGTTCTGAATTCGAAAGACCGCCCGTCTTTTTTGATCATTTGTATCTAACTAGGTAATAAATACCAGAAGCTTAAAATACCAGTATGGAAGATACAAAGGTCTGCACTGCCCAGCATTTTGCGTCGCTTGCTTCCTGTATGCTCGATGCAATGACCGCGGGCGCTGTAGAGAGTGTACTGTAACACCGACCGAGAGAATTAAGACTGCGTTGTCGGTATCCCTTGCCATTTATGTTGAAAGAGCATTTGAGCTGATTGAACCCGCTACAGAATCGATGATGCAAAAGGCGCTCGACAATTCAAATCGAGCATACATGCAACTCGAGTGCTAGTGCAGAGGCATGGTATCACCGAGCTTTATCGCGGTCTTGTATCCATTATGATGAAACAATCGGCCACTTCTGCAGTTCGTATGGGAACGTACAACATCCTCAAAGAAGCCACCAAAGCTAGGGGCATCAAAGCAAATGTGTTCACCACGTTCGGTATCGGTGCTCTGGCAGGTGTAGTTACTGTCTACGCTACACAGCCATTTGATCTCTTGAACGGGGAATCGCTCGCCTTGAATGGGCTCAGATGTCAAATATGGGATTCGATCACGACAGTCATTTTCATTATAATCCTGGATGTCTTCTCTGTGGACAGCAGATAACACCCAATACTCTGCGAATTCTAGAATCTCCAGGACGAGTTCAGATGGCAGCTTTTGTCGGAGAATGTTGAAGCTCTCGACGGCATCTGCTAAGTGTCTTGGGTAGTACATTTGATTTTCTTCAGGGGAGGCTGAAGCTTCATGTCGGATAGATTTGGCATCGTCGGATGTTGTGGAGTACGAGGATCCCAAGGTGACCAGAAGAGGTGACGTTGTTAGGCTGTTTGGGGTGTGTAACGTAGAGTTCGCCCATGTCCTTGGGAGATGTGGCTATGCAGGATCACGGGGCATAGTCCTTTGTCCAGATTCCAGATAGTTCACCGTTGAAAGCTGGGGGATAAAAACACATTTTCATGGTATTACAAGTTGTAGACAATCAAAAAATAACAGGATACTGGTTTTGTCATCTCATACGCAGTGATATATATCTCTGGTTACCAGACATTTTAGTGTCCTTGAGCTTCCTAAGTACCTCAACTCTAATAAATATTTACATACAACGTGCCTAGGATTTATGGTAACTCAAGATAAACTTATTGAAAAGCGAGGTTTGTCAACGAGGCTACCGAATCCCAGTTGTCGGATACCCTAAGGCTAGACAATTAGTCCTTCCTACTATATGTAAAGTTACGCCATCCGCACCTATTTGCATCACTAGTGCAACTATCTCAAGTAATTACACTGCATGCCTTTATGTTGCCATTCCCTACATGTTGTTTCTAGGCTTTGATATTTTCATGTTTTCAAACACGTTGTTTCATTTTGTTTGTTCATCGTATTCCGGATTTGTACATGTAGCTTAATGCTCACTACTCGAGTAGAGCTCAGCTGCCTCGGAATGTATATCTCCGCAAAATATGTCGTAAATCACCCAACCAAACCAACTTACCCGTCAAGAACAACTACCCCCAACCGCCCAGCAACCGTACTCATATCCAGACCCCGCACAACCTGCGTATCATCGGGGGCGTCTTGAATGGAAGGATCTGGATTCTCGGACGCATCCAGGTACGCTATGTAGAAGTAAACCCCGGCCTCGGAGACAAACTTGGGGCGATCGAGAACAACCGTGAATAGGCGAAAGAGCTCGCAGAATCTCCCTTGTCCTGTGATGATATGTTCTTCGGGTATTTGGGGAGTAATGCGTTTTGATATTCGGGGTTGATCGTCGCCCGTAGAGACGTTGTGCAGGGCGCCGATGGGGAATGCATTCTCTCGGTCCTCTTCTTGAGCTTCCCGGGATAGAATTTCGAGAACCTCGTTTTGGGCGGGGCGAATGGCTGACAAAGAAGGGGAATTTGGGATGAAGAATTTGAGAGTGAGGGTTTTGTTGGCCGGGAGGTGGGAGAACATTGACGCTGTGAATAGGCGCGCCGTGCTTTCTAAGAGGGAGGGCCCTGCTATGTCGCGAATGGAGCTGAGAAAAAGCGCATGGACAAGGTATTGAATGTCGGGGGGTTTTCCCTCAGGAGTATTAGTGACTGTTACAATGTTGGCATCCTAAGAAACCTGGAATTCCGGATGAAGAGAGAAGCCGCCACTTGAAGTTTCTAAGCTAAGCTGGTCGCGAATCTGCTCTTCTGACGGTAGATCCGAGCTAGGTATCTCACCCTCGTCTATATCTAACGCGTATCGCTCCGGAGAGGGAACGACGCCGTATAAGATATCGATTATGAGAATCTGGCCGATATAAATCTGGTCCGTAACGCGTTGGGTGGCTAATTCGAATCCCTCTGATGAGAGACTCTCGTTATCCTCGGATTCACGCTGCGCGTCGTCAACATAACCGCGGGTGCTAGAAAACGAGCGGTTGAAGTAGAGTAAGTCCGGGCCTTCGCCTAGCTTAGCAAGCTCATCCGAGTCCTCAATATAGCCTAGTCGATAGCTATACGATCGTAGTAGTACACAAAACCCAACGTTTGAGTAGTCGTCAGGACGAACAAATCGCGGAATCAACGGGAGTGGAATCTCGACCCCTGATCGGTGTTGCTCCTTACGACGGGCGATTTCAACGCGGTTATGCTCAATACAGGCAAAGTCGTCGGGCGGGCAGTATGAATAAATCTCGAACAAAGGCTTGACCTCATTATCCCAGAAACTTTGCATCAGGTAACGCCGGAGGTTTGTGTGGTCGTCATCCAGGGGTACAAGGCTGTAGACCTGGATGGGGATTATGTGGTCGGGGTCTGGCTCGTAGTCTGGCGTGACGTACTGCTCGAGCACTACGCGGTGACCCAGATGGTCAGCATAAGTGCGCACTTGCTGCCATTCACTTTCTAACATGGCGACTTGGGCGTTTGAATTATTTGATGAGTAAACAGATTTAAGTTTAAAAAACACTGAAGTAAATGAGGGCGGGACGTTTACATAAGCGAGGGAAAGATCGACAGGTTAACTACGTAGGTAGTTACGGTTTTACGATTAGTTAGATACGGCTTTCTGACCAGGAAAGTTATAATCAATCCGGCTTTTCCTTTTATAGGCATATTTCTAAAGCTTAATATATCAACTGCCCGGGTGGTCTAGTGGTATGATTCGCGTTTAGGGGGTTAACCCTGAACATCTTTAATACGCGAGGTCCCCGTCAATCCCGGGCTCGGGCCCATTGTTTTTTTGTAATTTTTTATATTCATTTATAAAAATTGTAGTATGATGAATTGTACCGGTAAGTTTTAATACAGTAGCCGTGCCAAGCGCCCAACACCAGGTCCCCTGGTGCGTCCCACCAGATAGCCATTTTTCACCAGATAACCAAATCTACAATTTAGGTATCTTTTGTATGACTTACCAATATAAAAGGTACTTAGACACCGTAAACATAACATACATTTTCTCAGCGCTCGAACTAGCTAAAGTAATAGAAGGTGTACGAATATATAGTATAAGTCTAGCTTGATTAATTTAATGGTAGTATAAATACTTTGTATCTAATATAGAAGAAGAAGAAGAATTTTAAAATGACACTATATGAAGGCTAGGTACATTCTTCATTTTAGTATACTTAATATTCCTCATCAAAGTTTGGTTAAATAATATAGACGTCCTTTATACTATATATATCTTCTTATATCTTCCCTAACTAGTTTGAGGGCTGAGAAAATGTATGTTATATTTACGGGTGTCTAAGTACCTTTTGTATGGGCAAGTCATACAAAAGATACATATTGGTTATCTGGTGAAAAATGGCTATCTGCTGGGGCGCACCAACAACCGGAAGGTTGTTGGGCGCCTGGCATTCCGGTTGTTGGTGCGCCTGGCACGGCTAGCTTAAGTAGTAATTGGGGAGATCACAGGTACCGCCGCAATCAAGATGTTGTTCAGGCTGATATAGTCATATTCTGAAGTTTAATATATCAACTGCCCGGGTGGTCTAGTGGTATGATTCGCGTTTAGGGGGTCAACCCTGAACATCTTTAATACGCGAGGTCCCCGGTTCAATCCCGGGCTCGGGCCGATTGCTTTTTTGTCAATTTTTTATATTCATTTATAAAAATTGTAGCATGATGAATTGTACCGGTAAGTTTTAATACAGTAGCTTAAGTAGTAATTGCATATTTATCCATGATTTTGTAAAACCTAAAACATATATGCTCAAATATATACATATACACGTACGGGAGACTGAGTCTCTCATTGGTTATTACCTCACCGCCGAGTTCATTACTGCCTTCTTGAAGTAACTATTTAGTTACTAATTTTAACTTCTCTTTTATTTGTATATGACAGAAATCTGTCTGTATTGAAATGTATGGGCAAAATGACTGATATTGAGAACTCTCTGACTTTCTAAAATGACAAAACCCGCTATTTCAACAATCTGTGCGGTAATGATGACTAACTGAAATATGCACTTTTGTATGGTATATCCAGTACTCGAAGTCACATGATCTCCATGGTATAATACCATGTAAATCCATGTATGCAACCTTGCACTTTGGCAGTATACTATATACACTTTATAGATTCAATTCAGATTCAGTTCAGATTCAGTTAGTAAGATAGTAAGATAGTAAGAAATCAAGAGTCAAGACTTAGGAGTATAAGAAGCCCGTTGTTAAAAATTAACATCGTATTTGTTGAACAATCTCCTATACATACATATATATATATATATATTTGCTACAGACTAAGCCCTATTTGTTCGTTATTTGCTATTTGTTAGCTTGTTTACTATAATCGAGTAGAGTTTAGATGGTTTTAGCAGGGTATATAACCCCCTACATTTCTAGTTTAATCAATTAATAATTCTTTTGCTTTCTCCGAGTCCCCACATAGTAACAGCTTGCTCGTATTCATTTATAAAAATACTATATAAAGTAACTATAGATTCAACAATGGTACTTGTGAAGTGAGAGTAGATATAAATTATTGCCTGGCAATATAAACCAATGAGAGAGTTACCTAGGTATGTGTCGGGTGGCATACTTACCTAGGTAGTCGCCCGTACACGCGACACTGGGTCCGGATCGGATGAGGTTCCATGGTTCTTATAATAAGGCTTACTAGAATAGACATAGTAGCTTTAATTCTACTATAGTTCGTCCTACCCTATCCTACCTCTATTAAGTCCCCAGGTCTAAATTTCTTCTTTCTTTTCTTTCCTTTTCACAAACATCTCCCACTTATCTTTCACTCATTTCTCAATTCTCTAGTTATTCACCTCTCTATCATCTCAAGTTCTCTTCGTCAGTTACTCGTGATACCCAAGACCCTTAAGCCAATCTGAGGCAAGGGGACTTCTTACTTTTTTTTTCACTTTGTACTCAAATCGATTTCTGCACATCCTCTATTCGGCACTCGGTTGAGTCACTTGACTATGGAATATTCTCAGTCTAACCCTTCTACCTCGCCCAACCCTGCAACTTCACCTGCATCCCCAAAATCTCCATCGAAAATTCCGAGAAGGATCAGCCCCAAAAGGATTGCTCTTCCCGATTTAACATCAGCACTGGGAAGAGCGGTTAAGGCCAGAGGGAAAACATACTCCCAAATTACGGCCTTCGTTTGTTATTGGGACGATGACAACACGTGCTCAAGAAGATGGAGAAACCTTTTCCTATATGATGGCTGATCTTTTCGGAGTTGCCAGCCAAACATTTGTCATGAACCACGAAAATCCCGTTCCAGGCTGGGATTTGGAACACCGCATTTGCAAACCAACGCTCTTCATTTTTTTTTACGCTGGCCACGGCACGATCAATCAACTTAACGAACTTTCTTTTACCACGACCAACAAGGAAAAATTTGATCCTTGGCGCACCATCGATCGTGAATTGAATTACCAGACTTACCCTATGGATACCTTCTGCATCCTAGATTGTTGTTATTCCGGTACTGCTATTGCGAGTAACCCGATGACAACCCATGTCTTAGCTGCTGTGGCTCTTCGGCGTTTGCGAGATCCCGTGTAAATGGAATATCCTTTACACAGCGAGTTGCGCAGACCATGCGAAAGCTTTCTCACTCTGGCAAGATGTCTATCTCGACAGATGAAATTTTCAATGCGGTACAGAATGAAACTCCTCGTGGCTGCTACATGCCAAGATTTTCGAGTCATAATGGGGTGAATCCCATTGTCTTACCTTTTCAAGTCACGTCTACTTCAACCCCTCCTTCGCCAGGAATTTCGTCTTCTGGTCATACCTTAAGTTCGAGCCTAGGTCCGGAATTATATTCCCGCCCACTATCACAACTTCCCTCCAGCCGCGAAACTCACGTCCTTATTCTACTCCTTCTCGAAGGAAACCCGAAGCTAGTTGTCCAAGACTTTGAAAAAGTTGTTGAAAAACTGCCGGCCAAGTTCAAAGTGAAAATCACAGATGCCTATGAAACCAATGCATCTGCGGGAGTCTTTGTGCGCATGACTTGGGAGACATATGCACGGTTCTTGTCAAGCGTAGAACTAGACGCACTCCTTCCTGTGATCGGACCATCACTGATTCGCACACATGAGCTCCGCGAGATTTCGGTCCGAGCTGGCTGAGAAAACATTCCATTCAGAGATCGGCCCTAAGACAAGGCATAGACTCCCAATGATTTCCCTTTTTTGTTCTTTTACTTTTTCTTTCCTTTCCATGTTTGCACTTTAATTTTTTTACTTCCTAGCGTCAAATTGAAGCCGCTTATCCTCAAACCATAAGACATAACGATCATCAAGGCAGTGTTTTGCCTCTTTAAATGTATAAAAAGTAGATTGGCTGGGAGATAATTAAGTAAGAAGGCGGTAACTAGTTAGCAGAAGGGGGACGTCAATAAAACCGATTTTATTATTATTATATAACCAAAAGTGGTCACGTTAACCTGTTCTACATCCCATGATGAATCAAAATTCATCTCTGGCTTCTATAGGCATATTCTGAACCACCTTACATCAACTGCCCGGGTGGTCTAGTGGTATGATTCGCGTTTAGGGGGTTAACCCTGAACATCTTTAATACGCGAGGTCCCCGGTTCAATCCCGGGCTCGGGCCGATTGTTTTTTGGCTTTCCCATACTACATATTAGTATTTTTTTCTTTCAATATATTTATTTGAAATACGTATGTGCATGTAACGGAGCTGTTGAACCTACAACATAAGCAGATATCGGTGCCCAGTCAATGTAACGTAGACTTCGCCAGTATATATTTTGGCCGAGTTGTACAACATAGAATGGCATCCTGTTCGGTATTTAGATCCAGCCTCTGTCTGGTTTATTACCTACCCCCTTCCAATTCAAGAATAATGATTGGTTCGGCTATTTGATTGGCCGTTAACAACACATATTTAATCATAAGGGTACGTGTACGTATATATTGATTGTTCAAATCAACAAATATCAAGGTTCAAATGTTATATATAGAAGAGTCTTTCACAACTCAAGCTCCCACCCTCGTAAGAAACCGAGAGAGGAGAGAAAATCCAAACTGGAGAGGCACCTAAAAACATATATAATGAGGCGAATTATTCTCATACTAGTAAGTAGCGCAACAAAAGCAAAACAATGGGCCCGAGCCCGGGATTGAACCGGGGACCTCGCGTATTAAAGATGTTCAGGGTTAACCCCCTAAACGCGAATCATACCACTAGACCACCCGGGCAGTTGATGTAAGGTGGTTCAGAATATGACTATATCAGCCTGAACAACATCTTGATTGCGGTGGTACCTGTGATCCCCCCGCAGTACTCTTTAGGACCTGTGGCTAGATCTCATAACGGTAGGGATAGTATAGCTGCCAGACTTTCAATCTACGAGTTGTAAAGCATAACAGGCAGTGCACGACCTTAGTTCTACTAGGAGGTTGCTCTATCTCACCTATTACCTTTTGCTGTATAACGTGAGTGGTTCATACAAACATAGATATTCTTGAGTTTAGCCTAGCTTTTCATCCGGTCCCTCGAACATTTCTAAAGAGTGCAAGGTATAATCATAAACGGGAATAAAATGCGCTCGGACGGGCCACCACTCATAAATACCTCCTCGATGTCTTCATATCTACAAGAAACCCCGGCTTTACACCATTTTAGTGGAACAGTACCTGGCTTCATGGTGTGCTGCCTTATGCACGCCCGTAGTATATAATAACTCTTTGAGAAGATCTGTCTTCCTACTAAGCTAACTTGTCTCAGATACTCAGATCCCAACGTAGTATTTCTGGGAGACCTACCGATATCTAACTGGGCCAGATTGAGCAAATCCAACTTAGCAAGGTTCTGCTGCAAGGGGGTTTTCCTAACGCCTAACGAGCCCAACCCTTAGAGTCAATCCTTTTCCGAGTCACGGACCGTTTCAAATTGCACATCGCATATATCGCGCTTCGAGTTGCTAGAAAGTGTCACTACTTGTCAACGGGCTAAGAAGAGAAGTATAGTCAAGACGATCAGTATTGTAAGCTAACAGAGGACTTACGGGCAGAAGACAAAAGGGGAGGAAGGAAGACCCCCACCAACAAGCAATAAGACAAACAGGTATGAACTACCCTGGGCCCAGGTGCCAACACTACTTACTGGTCACACTGCATCTATTTTGCGCTTCCCCCCCGAGTTGAACTCTTTGGCAGAGATTAAGGTGGCGTCGTCGTTGGTGTAGAAAGAGCCGGGCTGTGAGACACCTCGGGGGAGGGTTATGGTCAATGAACTCACAACAACAAACTGCCTTGGTCTCGTAATAATGTCTGCAACATCCTCCCCCTCCATCCAGTGAACGAATGAGTTGGCCTTGTAGAGATTTCTAACCATATTTGAAGTCACATAGGATGATGTGGAAATATCATCCCTTGTGTACATAACGCGAAAAGCCAACCGTGACCCTGGATCGGTCGCGAGCGTTTCTTGCGCCCATACCTGTGGATGTCGCTGGCCAGGTGGCTTAATCTCGGCTTTAACAATGACCTCCCGCGGAGGCTCCTCAATACGAAGAAAAAGATGAATGCATGAATGTATTGTCGCAACAAACATTCCCTGTCCTCTCCGAGTCCCGAGATATTTGCGGCCTTGTAAGAGTTCTTCTCGAGTTTTGTCTTCGACAGTGAAACTTCGATCTAAAGCAGAAGCACGGGGCTTTTTCCTTTCCCATGGAGTGACTGGGGTCTCAATGACAAGCATAAAGGTTCCGTGGTCATCAACACAGATTCGAGAAGTTTCCAGGTCTTCTCTTTCGAGAACATCAGCCTCCCCAACATCATCTTTCAAATCTTCCTCCCCGGATTCGACATTCTGAATTAACCCATAACTAGGATTGTCATAATCAATCGGTAGGTTCTTACTCAGTGAGCAACAGAGATCCCGAACAGCTTCAAGTTGCGCTTTGTCAATCTTAAACTCTGGGGAATGGTGTTTCTCTGATCTGCGGAATGAGTTCATAGAGGACGTAGTGGGGGCGTTTTGAAAATGACGTGAGTTCACATGCAGCAAGACGAGGATTGCGTTGCTAAGACTCCCGCCTCCTTTTTCTTGCAAGAGAGAGATGTCTTCGTCTTTCGCAAATCCTCTACGTGTAAGCCATAGGCGAGTCATTGGATGAAGAGTTTCGAGCGCTAAAGGTTCCTTGATTCCTTTTCGTTCATCCATATAATCTCGGATGGCCTTTGTCAGGACACATCCATTATCACCAGCGTAGGGGCGAATACCGATAGTCATGGTGATAGCTGATGTGAAATGAAGCGCCTCAGATATTTTATGAGTTTTGCGCCATTCTCGGAGGAGAAATGCATCGATTGGATTTGGTATTAGAACATAGACCCGTTTGACGGCTTCGTTTTCAATCTCAAGAAACATAGGAAATTCCCCAGATTCTAGTTTAAGGTGAGTCTCCTTGCACTCTGTGGGTAGAACAAGATCCTGCACTGCACGTCCACACATAAGAATCAACCGTAATCCACTATGTTGGATAATTGATTGGTTGAATCGAATAAATGACTCAGTCTCACTCTGCTGGGTCGACCGGAAGGACTGTGTCATTTCGGTCAAATCCCTCTGGATAGGGTTTGCAGCCCAGGTGAGAGAGTTCGTCACATTCCAGCCACTATCCTGAAATTGACGCGGAATGGATATCTTTGTGTTACCCAAGTGTTCTGATTCTGCATCAAGAAAATCTTCCAGTACAAAGCCAACCAGCGCTTCAAAATTACCATTAGGCGGGACCCAGGGAAGGCGGATTGACTCCAGGTCCTCTTTTAACTGGCTCAAAAGCTCAAAATTGGTTAGAGTTGAGTGTGGTAGGGGCTCATTGCCACAGAAGGACTGGCTTAGCTGGAGATGCTTGATTGCGTCCTGAAAACGGGTATGAAATTCCGAGGATCGCATTAGCGGGCGCCGAAAGTTGATATTAGACCTCTCAGCCTTTTTCCCGTACTCGTAACGGAATTGGGTCCATCCATTAATGTCGGGATCTAGGGACTTTTCCAAGCCAAGGGAAAAGGATTTTCGCACTGAAGGTCCAAGGGAGAGTCCTTGGAGAACAGGAGGAATAATATTCAACCCGAGATTGGAGTAAGGCTTCCCGTCCTCACTTGGCCCATAATAAGCCTCCAAACTGCTCCCTGGAAGCGATTGAAAAGCGCGACACATCGTCATTTCTAGGATATTGAGAGCCACGGCTCGAGAGGTGCATGATAGCTGAGCATCCCTTGGTACTTCCCAGAGCTTAAGCCAGTTTGCTGCTCGATGTCCTTGTCCTTGCGCAATGACATAATAATGCAGTGTGCTCCTATCTCCGCGCAGAATTGCCCGATTGTGGATTTTGATACGACCTGGTGGTTCCTTAGACTGACCAGGATAGGCACGCCAGTATTCGTTATTTCTTGAGTCTGTGACAATGTCCACGTAGCCTCCATTTGGGCTCCAACAGTTATTTTGACATGCCTGGACACTAAGAAGACTTTGAAGATGTTAGAAACCATAATATTCAATCCAGGGGCCTAACATACTCCTCTGTCCGAAGTAATCTACCCTCAAGTGTCCTGATATGAGGATCAACCCACTCCAGCAACATCTGGGCTATCTTTTGTGGACCTCCATGACTTGTAATCACAAAATGATATGGAAGCCGTTGCAGGTAGATATTGGGATCAGTCGCGAGTCTCGAAGTCAATTGACAAATCGTGTTGTGAAGGTTCGGGAAAACAACACTTGGGACTAGCTCCCAAGAATTCTGATTCTGGGTTAGTAGATAGGCCTCCTGCAGGACATCCTAGAACTTACCATGGTAGTTTCCTGGGTAGTCTGCAAAGGAAGTGTGGGCTGGGGGTCAACTGTGCTTTGGGAAGGCTCCACACGCCGTGAAGGTGGCATAGATGAACGTACACCCGAGGGGAGGGAGGGGCATTCGTATGCTCTGTCGTCTTGTTGCCCACAACTCTTACGCTCGAGCTTCCAGCACTTGGATTTGCAGTGCCCCATTTTGTGGCAGTAGCTGCACTCGGTGTTCGGGCAGTCATAACTCATATGACCGTGCTCGTGGCAGCGAATGCATTCGATATGCGGGCAGTTTTTCCTCGTGTGGCCC